CGAGAGCAATGCCACTAAACCATTGTTTTCCATGAGATAATAGGTACTGAGCAGGATTGGTTTACACCTAGATCAAAGATAAAATTCGAAAATAAACATGTTATCATAGACAAAGCCAGTCATGTCACTTAAGTTCAACTAGGGTCAAACTACGTTTTTGCAGATAACGCGACAGACAATGAAGCTAGAGCTTCAAAAATGGTGTCGTTGTGTTCTTCTTCATCAGCCGAGTCGAATGATATGCAATATGATGCATTAAGGGAAAAAGAAAAATAAATTTTAAGGAATTTTGAAATACACATTTTTTGTGAATTTTGCATCACGATTTTCATCGACCTGTACTGTATATGTGGTAGACGCTAGCTAAAATACCAGTAGTGAAATAAACTCTAAGATGTCCAGAGCTAATCAGTACCTTAATATTTCACTTTCCGTTAATGTTTGGAAGACACATAATGGTTTCATCAACTCGTTGTAAAGCGCTGGGGAGGTGGCCGGCGTTACCCCTATGCCGGGCTCACCCCAGAAAATTCAACACTTTTTTAAAACTCGATTTTCTTTACCTTATACTCATTCCACGAAACCGAATTTTTGGGAAAACACGGCCAATGAACTTAGCTAGCTAACAGGCTATCAACATTTTATACAGCACGTATGGTATGTAATAAAAATGAAAAAGAGCATACTATGCCGGGCTTCCCCCGGCTTCCCCTATTTTCCGAAAAAAGTCAGTTTTTTGAAAAAAAAATTGGGCCAAAATCATTTTTTTTCAAAAAACCGAGATAGCAACTTGATAGACAAAGTAGAATCACGCATAACCTTTTTTGTTACGCCTTGATTCCCTTAAAAATGAAGATGTTAGCGGCGTTTGAAATTTTGCCGTTTTTGAGGCGAAAATGGCGAACAAGACGTCACAAAAACGTCATTTTCTCCAAAAAATCCGAATGATTTCGCTCAAATTTTCAGGGAACGTGTCAAATTGATGTAAGAAAAGGTACTGAAAGTTTGGTGGCGCTGCGCGACGCCGTTTTTGAGATATTGCAAAAATTCGCGAGGGGGGGTAAAATGTACCCACCCACAGCCCCGCGCGGGTTAACCCGCGCATGACTGGGGGCAGGGGGCTCTACAGAGCTCCCTCCGGTTTTTCGGTAATATCTTCTAAACCGTTTGACGGATCAACACAAAAATTGCGGTACCCTCAGAGGCATTACTTTTACACCTTGTGATAATATTTCAACTTTCTAGCTACTAGAGTTTGGCGGAAAATGACGTCGAAGTGACGCCATGTCGGCCGATTTTGATGCAAAATATTAAATTACGGCTAACGCTCTGAATAGCGCAGTTTTTAAGCTAGATCCAATTTCTTTGCATGAGTAGACTAAAAATACACGTAGCTATCCAACTGCTATCTCGAATTTTCAATTTTTTTTTGAAAATTTCAAAGAATATGTATTAAAGGGACCCTCCCACCTTCAAAAAACTTTATGAATTGGCATGAAAGTGATGTCGCTCGGTTCACAAAGAGCGAAAACGAATATCTACCAAATTTCACCGAAAAATATTCACCGGTTTTCAAGATATTAGACTTTTACTTTTGTTTACTTTTTTGGAATCTCCGCTGTTTCTAGCGACTTTATTTTAGAAGTGCGGCGTTTGCGGCAGATGTTGCGCGCAAATAGCATATACCACCGCGTACTACAAAACGTTTTAGTCAAACATTTAAAAATCGTTAGCTATTTGCGCTGACGTCACACATTCAGAGGGGTATTCCTAAGCATTAGCCCCTCTGAATCAAAATGCTGCAATTTTGAAATTCAATATTTCCGATTTAAGGCATTTCTCGATGTTGTGAGTGCCGAAACCGGTAATTGTGAGCCAGGGACCCCATTTTGGCTATCTCAACTCAAATCTAATGTTAAGGTGGGAGGGTCCCTTTAACAATTACAAAATATGTATATTTTTTATTTTTATTTTTTAATTTCGCAAAAAAGAAACAGTAAAAATGTGATAGAACACACACTCATAAACTACTCTAGCAAGTTTTAGCCCAATTTCTTCGAAAATAGCCAAGTTATTTGCATAATTGTTAAAATTTCACAATTATATCAAAATAATATATTTTTAAAACCATTTTTCAGCACGTTTTTGACATCGCAAGGTCACGTCATCAAAATTTCCACAAATTGAAAATCCGAGACAGCCAAAATGGTCTTTGGTTGAATGCGAGTTGAACGATATAAAGTCATAGAAATCATAGAAATAGAAATAGATCATCATAGAAAACTAATAGTTTCTGAGTTATAAGCCGCCAAACATAGGGTTGCAGCGTGACCTCCAGGCCCGAGGCTATATCTCGGAAACCGTTGTTCGAAGAAAAAAATCCTTGCCACAGTTGGCTTCCCCGCCCATCACAACCCCATTATAGACCAGTATTAAACGAAATATAAAATATGTGGGTGTCATTTTTTTTTATCGATCTATCGTAGAATGCCCCTACTGCTGTTCCGTAGTCACTCCTGTGCACTCTACAACTCTTCTTGAGCCCCCCCCCCCCCCCCGGTCGGCTCAGCACAACTACCTACCGGCCGCCCCGCAGAGTCAAATGGAGGCACTCCGACACGATTAGTTTCTGAGTCACCTACTCAGCTCAGCCAATGACTCGGTAGTCCAGTCACCTACTCAGTCCAGCCAATGACTCAGTAGTCCAGTCACTGACTCGCTGACTCAGTCCAACTCCAGTCATTGACTCGTTAGTCCAGCCACCGACGGTGGACATATAGTCCACAAATCAATATTGCCACATAAATGCCACCGCACTCCGCAGATATTGCTGTGGCATGTAGGTCAGGTCAGATTATGTTTTGTTCTATATTAGCCGTGAAAAGACATTTGCGACGAGCGTGTAACGTGGACTGGTGTTGCATGTTCGATATACGAACACGTCATTATATCTTTCCAGGCGGGTGGGGGAGGCATTTTTTGCCCCCCCCCCCTTTAGTTTTTTTTTTCGATATATCTCCAGAACTGCTGCGCCGATCGTCACCAACCTTTCAGTATCCCCCCGTGAATAGCTTTTGCACATTGTGACAAAAATTGTTCCAAAGTCTATGATAGGTTGGCCGCTAATGACGTCGGAGTGACGTCATTTTTGCCATTTTCGACCCAAAAACAGGTTTCGCGGGAAGAGCTGTCAGGCCTACAGCCTTAGAGATACAGAAAAGTGCTTTGGACATAAAAGGTGTAGAATTAGGGGAAGATGGGGGAACACCGCCCTTTGGGGAACACCGCCCACTCCGATATCAGAAATATAAAAAGGTCTAGGGCGACAGCTGACTTGTCTTTTGGTAGCGTAACGTCAACAGAAGTGCAGGTATGGGCAGTGCACCGCATATAGTTATTTTATTTGACAGATATTAGTCCTGAAGTAGTATTTTTTTGCCATAATTAGGACTGATCCTAGCATAACGTGCTCCTGCTCGAGCGAAATTTTTGTCGTGCTGCCATATTGAAGGAAAATGGAAACACTTGGGTAACACCGCCCACTTGGGCAATTTGGTATTTAATAGCACATTGTGACACCAAGTCTAAGAGTGGCGCATTTCAAATAAAGAAAGAACGTTGTTGCTATGTCTTCTTTTTAGTAGATCATGCAAAATTTCGAGAAAAAAATGAAATTTTGAGACTTTAAGTCGTCTAGCTATATAAATGAGTGCTACATTGTACAAGAGATATAATAAAATCGTTTCCACTGCATTTTATAGATATACTAAAATGCCTCGATATTTACGATAAGAAGAACAACTTAATAGTCCAGAAACCTGCAAACTTCGTTGCCTGCTGAGCCCGGGCGGTGTTACCCAACGGTCGGTGTTACCCCGAAAAATGTAGACATTTACTTAATGTGGAATAATGCAATTATGGACGACACTACAAGAAAACAACTGGCTGATATGTATGTAAAATTGATGCAACAATCCAATGAAACTGAGAGATTGATCATTTAGCCGAAAAATACGTGACTAGACCCTAAAAGGTTGAGGGGGTCGGTATTCCCCCATCTTCCCCCAACAGGGCTACAAAATTACAATTTCAGATTTTTTGAAATTTTGGATTTTGACCCCCAAAAATCAAAAATAGATTTATTGAATATAATAGCCGGAAAATCCAAAAATGCTGTTCGAAACCCCGGAATATGTGTGATAGTACCTACCGTCTTCTATACACATACCAAATTTGAGATTGATACTTCTTTTTTTGGCCAAGTTATAGCGAAAAAACTTCAAAATTGGTGACGTCAAATTTTCAAACTCACTTTTTAGCAAGTCTAGAACTCGCAGCGCAAAACAAAGACCACAATTAGACTCGCCCTGGCGAGCTGCATCGAATCAATACCTATTTTGTGCAAAACTATCAACTTCGAAATTTGACCTTTTTTACCTGACCTGACCTCCACCAGAAAGTGATCTAAACCGTACCTGATGGTCTTATAACCAACACCACTGAGTTGGAATTGAAAAATTGGCCATAAAACACGCATCGCACAACCTTAGTTAAGTTGGGTTCATGTGCTGACCCTTGGTGACCTAACCTGTGACCTGACCTGGTATTATCAGTGACCTATAATAGCAGCATATGTACTAGACAACTGACGTCCTATCGCTGATTTTCGACAAAATGCGTTTTATTCGATGTTATAGCGCATTCCCTAGAAGACCCGTGAACGGTGAAACAATTTATCTTTGACCTGACATGTGACGTCATCGGTGACCCCGAGTTCAATGAAATTTGGTTTCCTTCGAAAAATTTGACAGGGTATCGAACACTGTTTGAATTCTACGGATCCGTCCAGTAGTTCAGGAGATACGGGGGGGGGCAAAAATGCCCCCCCCCCCACCACCACCACCGCGCGGAAGCTGGCCGGGAGGCCCATCGTCTGCCGGGATATACATTATACACCTGTCACTGACTTAGTCCATTGTCTGACTCAATAGGTAGTCTAGTCACCTACTCAGTAGTCTATTCACTGACTCAATCCAGTTGTGGGCTTAGTACTTTGTAGTCCATTCACAGCTCAGTATGTAGTCCAGTTACCTTCTCAATAGTCACCGACTCAGTGCAGTTACAGCCTCAGTGCCGTCACCGACTCAGTAGTCCAGTCACCGACCCGCTGACTCAGTCCAGTCAGTCAGCCGATTCACCGGCTCGGCCCCGTCACGAGCTCGTCGGGAGTCGGCTCTCACAGGGTCGGACACTGGCCCTGTGAACCCTCACAGGGTCGGACACTGGCCCTGTGAACCCTCACAGGGTCGGACACTGGCCCTGTGAACCCTCACAGGCGCCAGTGGAACGCGTCGGTATACCTACGGAAACGGAATGGCACTCACCCTGAGCCTTCCTGCACTCAGGGATAAAATACGATACAGATACCGAGCCGCCCAAACTCTGGTCAAAGATACCACACACTCAGCCACCCGGACTCCGAGAAAAACAGCATCTTCACACCCAGACTCGGGGAAAAGCTGCAACACAGACCCGTACTCCGGGAAACAGATACAATAACTAGACGCAGTGGTACAATAACTCGCCCCGATTCCGGACAACAGGTGGACGCCGCACGGTTGGGCCGCTGCACTGTTCTCTACGGGCCGTCCATTGGGGAGGTGAGGCTGCTGCTGCTGCTACTGCGCCGCGGCCCTCACCCGCTGAACACGTTCACTGCTGCGCGCCGAGCGGTGGCCCCACTCCCCTCCGCCGGGCGGTGCGCCGCGCCCGCCGCGCCTCCAGCGGCCATCACAGTATGTTGAGGTTGCAGTGCCGGCCGCCAGGTGGCCGCTCAGCCGGTGCCCTCGGCGAACAGGTCAGCGATGTGGTAGCGCTCCGTCCTGTAGTCCATGGCCGCGCCGGAGTCGGAGTCCGCCAGGGCGGCCGGGTCGGGACTCCGCAGCCACGCACCTGCCCGCAGCGACACAGGTGAGCACTGAGCACCCACACCCACACCCACACCCAGGAAACACCTAATGGTCTGGACATAGGCAGGTTACAGGAGACGGGGAGCGCAGGGAGGGCAGGCAGATTCTTCCCCCCCCCCCCCCCAGTCCAAGATCCGAACAGATGACTATAACAAGACAGAGAAAACGGCAATCAAAAGCTCTCAAGAAGACGGCTGTTTGGAGCACAAACGTTTCTCGAACGTCACATGTCAGATCACTGGCGGATCCAGGGCATGAGCGCGGCGGGAGAGGGGGGGGGGGGGCAGGGGTGAAGGTAGTTTTATATCTCTTTGTGGGGGCAAATACACCCACAATCCTGAATGATGCCCCCATTCCCCACTATGGTGAAAATGCACCATCAAGTCTTTTACAAGCGTCCTTTCGAGAGCACGGCGCCTTTCGCATGCTCTAACGACGTCTTCCTGACTGTCTCGCGTTCCTGGATAATATAGCGTTTTTAATCACTCGGCGCCCTTCTGGGAGAATGGTGCCCTTTTGACAGCACTGCGCCATTCTCATGGTCTAACGGCGCCGGCTCCTGACCGTCTCGCCCTCTCCGTCCACCGTGCATCCCTCGACTGTTCGGCGCCATTCTGGCCTCTCAGCGCCCCTGGACCACATAGCGTTTTCAATCACTCCATGGGTGTAGTTTTCCAAAAATCATTGGGGGTGCTCAATAGCTTTCAGAAAGGCATTCCATAGCTTTTGTAGTTTTTTTTTAGCTGTTCTTTTTTACTGTAGCCATCAGGCATCATGCAAGAAATGATGTTAAATCGGTTCGAGAGCTTGTTTTAATAGCGCCACTGTAAAACAATTTTGGCTCACCCAATGCATTAACCCGCGCGGGGCTGGGGTCTCCACTCTCCAGCCGAACGCGCGGGGCTGGGGGGATAAATTTTACCCCCCTGTTATCTCCCGAACTATTGGTCCGATTTGGAAAATTCAAACGCCAATCGAAAGATCTCATCACGAATAACTAAAAACATGCACTTAATTTAAAGTTTGAGGTCAAGGTCAGGTCAAGGGTACAAATTGCAAGTTTCTACAGTATCGGCCTTGCACCGTAGTTGCTGAAGAATGGAGTCATGGACTGAGACTGATTGCCCAAAACGTGTTTGGGCCTGACCTTGGCCATAAGTTTGGCAGGCCAGATTTTGTACTGGACCATTTTGAGTCAACTTTGAGAAATACATAACGTACAACGGTGGTAAAATCGTTGCTATAGGTATAACACAGCTTACCCGCTCCGGGTGTGAGGGAGGGGTGTGGGGCAATGAGTGCACTGACGTGGCGCCCTCGGAGGGCCGGTATGGGATTAAAGCTCAGCTACACTAAGGGCTTGTGTGGTGCCTTCAGTTATCGGTGGCACCCTCAGAATCACCGGCGTAGGGCCCTCAGAGCCGCCGGTAAGGGAGGCACCGGTGTAGGGCCGCCATGCAGGTGCCGGTGTGGGCGATCAGAGGTGCTAGTGTGATTCTCTCAGAGGCGCCGATGAGGGTCCTTACAGGCGTTGCTCCGGGCCCTCATAGACGCTGGTGTAGAGCCGTTACAGACGGGTGTGGGGCCTTTAGAGCTGCTAACGCGAACTCTCTACAAGCCGGCAGGGGGTCTCAGTGACCGGCAAGGGGTCCTTATTAGGCCGGCAGAAGAAGTCCTGCGGGGTCCTAAGAGACCGGCATGATACTGTCAGACGCCGGTGGGGCCCTCAGGGTCACCGTTGTGGGGCCCTCAAGTCATCAGTGGGTGGCCTTTAGATGCGCAGGTGTTGGGTGGGTCCTCAGAGCCGCCGATATAGGACTTTGGCACTGGTGTAGGCACTCAGAGTTGGGGGTGTGAAACCCTCAGAGACACCGGTGTGGGCCCTTATAAGCACCGACGAGGGCCCCATAGTTGCCGTTATGGGGCCCTCAGAAAAATAAGTGTGGGACCATCACAGGTGGGAAATGCCCCTAGAACTTTCCCTCATTGGCCGGTAAGACCTCTCAGAGGCTAGTAAAGGCTGAAGCAGACTCTTTCCGCGTTCAGGAAATCGCATGCGAGAGCCTATTCAAAAACATTGTAATTCCTCTCGCATCAATCGCTCGCGGGAGGTGCGTGCGATTGATGCGAGCGTGCTTCCATGTATTTGAATAGGCTCTCGCATGCGATTTCCTGACTGCGGAAAGAGTCCGTTTCAGGCTTAACGGGCCTTTGGAGACCACCGAGGTGTCCTTAAAAGCCGCAAGAGGCCCTCAGAAGTCGGCGTGGGGCCCTTATGGAGACCTTAGTGTGGCTATTTAGGGCCCATGAGGTGCTCTAAAGAGCCACACGGGGCCCTTCTGAGTAGAAATATGGCCATCGTTAACCCTCAGCGGTCAAATGGCGCCGCAGGGCCTCTCGGACCCAAGGGTCCCTTTGAACCCGATGGGGGGAGGGGAAACGTGTCCCCTTACACCCCTAGCTATGCCACTGTTTTATATGCATCATGTCAGGTATTTTAGGCTCCCCCCCCCCAACTTGAAAATCGTTCCCGGGCCCCTGATAATATCAGATGTAATGTTAACACAAATATCATGCATCTTAATTTGTGGTGATTTATTCAATGTATATTCTCTTAGTCACTGAATTGAGTAAGCATAGTATTTGCATGATTCACTGGGCTCATTACAGTACTAGGAGATGGACATTCTGATTATTGAGGGCCTTGAGTCAGCTGGGAATGTTTTGAGGAGGCTGGGGGTGCTTTAAGAAGGCAGGGGGTGCTGAGCTCAGGATTGGGGGTGCTTGAGCACCCACAAAGAGATATAAAGTTACGCTTATGAATCACTCGGTGCCATTCTAAGAGAATGCGCCCCTTTACATGGTCTCACGGCGCCCTCGTAACCGTCTGGCGCCCTTTTGTCCCCACCAACTTAGCACTTCTGACTATCCGACGCCCTTCTGGGCTGGCCTCTCAGCGCCCCTGGACCATATAGCGTTTTCAATCACGATTCACTCAGCGCCCTTCTAGAAGAATGTGCCCCTTTTCATGGTCTCACGGCGCCCTCGTAACCGTCTGGCGCCCCTACGTCCCCACCAACTTAACCCTAGAACGCCTAGGGGGGGGGGGTATATCACCCCCCCTGAGGTTTTTTCGAAGTGCACGCTAAACGGCTTGTCGTAGCGGGCTGAAATTTTCAATACCCTCTGGAGCAACCTTTGCGCATCTTTTGCCGAAAAAAATTGATCGGGTCATGTCAGGTCACGGAGGTATGACGTCATAAGAGGTACAGCCTCCGGCCGACAGTTACCAAACGTGTGCGCCGAATCCCTAGGTTTTCTGCCGGTGATACCCACATTGTTTGATGGATCATGATGAAACTTCCCATGCATGTTGGGGCAAGCATTGGCTATCGTGAGGTGCAAGAAAATTGACCGGGTCAGGTCAGGTCACGGAGCTATGACGTCACAAGAGGAACAGCGTCCGGTACTATTTTTGAAAAGCGCCCGAACCACTATTTTGCTAATTCTTGTCACCTCAATGGAAATATGCAGTAATATTAGCTTCTATAGGGAGCAAATGGACCTCCCAAATCCAAAAATACAATCAGATTTCAAAAATTTAAATTTTGATTTTTCGAATTTCTGCCGCCGACTGTGACCTTGCCGACTTCCGGCGCTCCCAACGCGCCATTTTTAGAGCTAGGGAAACGAAATACATACCACACGATAGAGAATTGATTAAGGAACACGATAGTGAAGGTTTCAAGTCGATATCTCCCACCGTTTTGCCGCAATCGCCGCGGAAAGTTGAAAAAGTTTGATTTTTTTCGGAAAATTTGACCTTTGACCGGTCATAAGTAGGTCAAATGTTGACCTAGGACCAAAAAATATACCACCAATCGCGAGATCTCGTTGAGAGCAATCCGTTGGTTTTTTCCGCTAAGCTCTACGACCTTCCGTTTCGAAACGCCAGGGGGGGTCGTAACAACCCCCCCCCCCCCCTGGTCGTTCGTGTTATGAGAAATGGCCTGGTCGTGCGAGGGTTAACATTAACTGACTGTGTGGCGCCCTTCTAACCTCTCTGCGTCCGTGGATCACATAGCATTTTTAATCACCTGTCGCCCTTCTGGGAGAATGGCGCCTTTTGACAGCACTGTGCCCATCTCATGGTCTTTCAGCGCCCATCTCGCTGACCATCTCGCGCCCTTATGTCTCTGTCCACTTCTGTCGCAGTTAACCCGCGACCTGGTGGGGGGGGGGGGCTATTTTTTGCCCCCCCTCCAGACTTTTCAATATATCTCCAGAACCGCTGCGCCGATCGTCACCAAACTTTCAGTACCCTCCCGGACATCAATTTTACACATTGTGACCAAAAATTTTTCCTAAAGCTATGATAGGTTGGCCGGAAATGACGTCAGAGTGACGTCATGTTCTGCCGTTTTCGACCCAAAAAAGGGTTTCGCGGGAAGAGCTGTCAGGCCTATAGCTTTGCAAATACAGAAAAATGATAAAGACATAAAAGCTGTAGATTGGACAGGGCTACAAAACTGCTATCTCGGATGTTTGAAATTTTTGGATTTTGACCCCCAAAAATCAAAAAATAGATTTTTTGGATATAATAATCGAAAAATCAAAAAAGTTTTTTGAATTTCGCAAAAACCGGAATATATGTGATAGTCCTTACCGCCATCCATCCATATACCAAATTTGAGATTGATACCTCTTTTTTTGGCGAAGTTATAGCGAAAAAACTGTTCAAAATTGATGACGTCAAATTTTCAAACTCATTTTTTAGCAATTCTAGACCCCGTAGCGCAAAACAAAGACCACCATTAGACTCCCCGTGACGAGCTGCATCGAATCAATACCCATTTTATGTAAATCTATCAACTTTAAAATTTGACCTTTTTTGGCCTGACCTTGACCTGACCTTGACCTGAACTTCACTAGAAAGTGACCTAAGCCGTACCTGATAGTCTTATAACCAACACCATTGAGTTG